AATGCGAAGTGCATTTTGCGTGATGCATTGCACGCGACGCTAAAAACGCGAGTAAATCGTCGTCTGCGCCGTGTCTCGCAGTTGCACCGTTACAAGTGTTTCGTGCATTGTTCGTGTTGCGCGTGTACGTATGTATGTATAGAGTAATTCCCCTAAACCACATACTAAAATAACAACACCGTCGGGACGTAATAGACCGTGTTTTTTTTTTTTTTCACGAGGAAGAGCGTTGTCGTATCCGGAAAAATGTAATTTCGTTCGCCATGCAACTCAAGTACAAAAGCGGTTTTGCGGCGAAGAGAACGAGATCTCTTGACACGACGAGCAGATCTTTTCGCGGATGCAAACAGCGTCAACAATTTGCGTTCGCAGGTGTCTGTGACATGATTACACCCGATTCGAAATTCGAGCCTTATGTTGAACCTTTAATATCACAACGCAATAGCTAAGACGACAAAATTGCAGGTTCAAATGTAACGATGTAACATCCATTTTAACCAAGATGATGTCTTAACTTTCCGTTGTTTTCGCTGTTTTTAAACTCGGGTATTGGAATAAAAGATTTTAGATTAAATTTCGAAGGAAGACCAAGAGACTCCATTTCGACTCTCACGGCGATGACATACGGTCGTTTAAAGTGACGTTTCTCCGCGGAAGACTCTTCTCATCGAGCCCGATCATTTCTGTGAGGACCGTTCCTCCCCGTCACGGGACGTCGATATCTTCAACTGGCCGGAAAAGAAATTGCTCGATAGAGGCACGGTATAGCGGCGGATACATATACCGTATATCTATATATACCATAATCGTAAATTCTGGTAAGGCGTAACCGGGTGAACGCGTATGAATTGCGATGTTTCGCTCGGCGTGAAATATTCAAGAGCCACAAACATCGCGGGCACGTGCGAAGTGCACGGTAAAGTCAACTTCTTGCCCTCTCTTTCTTCTTGCGCGCGTTTCACGCCTCGGCACTTGCGGACGATACAATGATACACGCGAGAACGCGCGTAACGTTCGCGCCCGCATAATTCGACGATCCAACTTGTTTCATCGACGTGCGATTCCCGCGCAACGTTCACGTCTTCTACTGCGTGCACACTTGCAGCTATTTCCATATGCATTTCTGTATGCATGCGCTTATCATCCCGCTAATAATTTCAGCGGCTGAAGTAAGCGAAGCGATGTGCGTCGCGTGCCTGACGACGGGCGTCGTCGCTCTCCTGCGTCAGCTTACGTAAGAATCCGCGAAGAATTTTGCAATTAAATAAGGCATGCCTCGCGCACGCTTCGCAAAGTCGACGATGCACACGCGCACACACACACACACGCACGTGTACACGGAACATGCTTAGGGAGCATTAATGTCTCGTAAAACGTGCATTTCCAGGCTCCGCGGACACGCGAGCCTAGCATGCGAATCGATGTTAACCCGGGCATTTTCTACGTCGGACCCTCGACTGTTTCTTCGAGCGGCGTCGAAACGATATCCTAGCGAACATCGTCGATGAGGAGAGGAGGCTTCCTCGAGTACTCTCCTCGGAGTTGCTCGATCATACGCGCGCCCCTTCTGTTTCCAACGTTCGTCGTACTGCGTTCGTCGTACTGCGTACGTGTGGTCCGCGGCAGAAAAATCGCGACATTTTTGCCTCACTGACCTTTGAAAGGCATTCGCGAAATATGCAAGAGAAAAATTTATCTTCCACACAGAGGAAAGGATCTCTATAAATTTAATAACATTTTTTTAATTCAAACAGATTTGCCTTTTGAAATGGAGCAAACAAACGAATGTTGGATTTGACAATAAAAAAACAGAACTGTTTAGTTTTTCAAACAATGTAAATATCTTTATACGCCAAATAATATATTTCTTTTGTATTTTCATGCAAACACATATTGCACTGGTTGTCTGAGGCAATAAATTATTTGAAAGGAGCAATACTATGTTAGAAAAATGTTAAAGAATTTCTTTATTTCAGTAGAATAATATTTAATATATAATGAAACAAATTTTTCTTTATTGAAAATTCGATATTATTTTTTCTAAATAATATTGTTGTTTTCCGTTAAACAACATGTTTTACTGTAGTGAAATAACAATATTTTCATTCAAACAAAATGATATTTGATATTAAATTATGTTGTTTATGTTAAGCAAACCCAAGTCAAACAAGCATCTGCATTAAGAAGAAAGTACATGAAAATTTTATTTGTAGAAGATATAAGGTTTATTTCACAGGAATAAGGATTATTTCTGTGAGATACACCTTATACCCCACAAATAAATTTTTAAGTACTTTTTCTCAATGTACTAAACCCAGAGAAACCTTTCCCTTCATGAAAGAGTTACTGAAAAATGTACCCTTCCGTCGTATAAGGATGCGTTGCAAAATTCAATGAGGAAAATAAGCGTTGCGATCTTTCCGCCGCTGATTGTACGTTTGACGGACCGATTTCACCTGAGCATTCTCACGATTTTGTCGCCGCAGGTGAGCGCGTCGTTTCGCTCTCCCACCGATTCCTCGAAGACCTCCGGCGGGGACAAATACCGGCTGCTATCGATTATAAAATTGTCCCGGCAATTTTCCTCAATGGATGTCCGCTTATTCGTTGTAGAAGTGACCAAAATTCGCGGGTGAGAAGAAGAGAGAGACAGAGAGAGAGAAAGAGAAACGCAAAACGACGTGGAAATTATCACGATCGCTCTGAATGAAAGCACGGGAGGGCGAGCGTTTTATGGACTTCATCTTTTGCCTTATACAGCTCTCGCGGCCTTTCTCTCTTATAATTGCGATAAGTGTGCGCGCTTCTTAAGTGCGCGGAAAATTGCTGGCCGGAAAACGCATCGATTCGCGCTCTCGTTAAAAGCTTCCGTACGAAGGTGCAATCGTACAAGGTGATTCTGTCACACGATTGGGTATCCCGCTCACGAGCGCGGATCATCATTCTCCTTCACACTCTCGGGGAGGCTGGA